TATTAATAATATTTATCAGAAAAACTATGTAATAAAAATGTGTAATTGATTTAAATACAGCCCTAAAAAGTTATAAAAAAGCTTATTTTAAAATGTAAGTTGCAGTTTTTGATATAATAATTGCCTATCTTTGTAATAAAGAAATAATTATATTTTTTTAATTATAATATAAAATTCCAAGTATTTAATAGAGGATAAGGCAAAGTTGCTGCTAGCAATGATAAAGTCATATTGTTATTGATAACCATTTTTAGCCGATTTGGATGTTGACATGAGATTTTATCCTACCGAAATTAGAATTTCTATATAGAATAAATTGTCAATTAAACCAACCAAGGTATGACCTAATATTGATTGATATTTCATAGTATTTATGGTTCTGTCCACAATATATAACGTCTACTGCCCGTTTAATCTTATACTGCAATTCACATCATATTTTGTGGAAATTTCAATGTCCTTTTATAGCAACGAGTACCAAAAGCTTCCGACAGTGGCTTCGCTAGCAGAGGGCGTAGGGGCTCGAGCCCCCTGAAAAATTTGCATAGCCCCTTGAAGAAATTTTTTTTTTAATGACTCATTAATATCCCCTTGAACTAAAAATAAATTTTTTTGATATCTCCCTGAATGATTTCTTTTATAATTCCATTAAGTAATATATAGATTTAATTTTATTATTTAGAAATAATTTTTAAATTTTTATTAAATGAATACTATTTTAATTATTAGATTAGATTAATACATATCAATTATATTTTCACTATGTCAGCTTGCAATCAAATTATGTATTAAAAATATAATATCAATAACTCACTAATTAGTAATTTAGATTTAACATAAGTTTAATTGACTTTTATTATTTAAATTATTTTATAACCCTAATTAAATAAATATAATCATATTATTTGAAAATTAACAAATTTAATATTGTAATTAGCCGAGTTCAAAATGACTAATCAACTGTATATTTATTTTTAAATTAAATTATCATACCTATTCCTAAAAATTTTTTCAATTTCCAAATAAGTATAAGAGATTTCTTTATAAAAAGTAAATAAATAGAGATATAGTTTATAATCCTATATTACACACAGTTAGTTATAAAATATAAACGTATTTGACAGTTATATAATATATTACAGTTAATATTATAGTAAATAATTTTACTAATAAATGGTTTTGATAATAGATATGATATCAATTTGCATTCAAGCATTATACGCCATCTATTTGGTTATATAATAATTTAAAAATTAAACATTTTATTATTCATCCTGCAATAGATGTAAAAAATTTGATATCTTTTCTTCACTTTTTTACGTGTTTTTAGGAAAGCTATTTTTTTCTTTTTCGAAAAACAGTTTTGAGTTATATTTTTAATACAAGTATATTTTTGATATTATTACAAACTACTACTATTTTAAGATATAATATACGTGCTGCGACATAAAATCTTAATTTTTTTATCATATCTCCTTATTTTATAGTTAGAAAATGTTTCATTTCTAATATGGCATTACTGTATAAATAACTCCAGGCTTCAATATATTTGCATAATTATTTCTTCCAAAGATTTTTAGTGTTTATATTTTATCAATTTATCCAACATAATAAATTCTGATATAAGTTTACATCGTGAGTGTCATGGCTATTACTGCAAATTAACCAGTATCTATTATTTGTGTTGCTATGTAATTTAAGATTATTACAACAACGGCTGAGAGCATATAATTGCATATTTTAGATAAACAATAACCGTCAACTGTGTAGTCAAGTCATTTAAATATCATTTAAAATGGAAGATAATCTTTTAGAAATTTAATATCTCACGATTATTTTCTCGATTATTAATCTAACTTCCATGATGTCATCTAAAAGGAAGCTCTAACCACCATATAGTTTTATGATTTTGATTGGTCGTTTATACTCTCTTCTTCAAAAATTGTTGATTTGGTATATCGCTATAAATTTTTCCTTATTAATTTAATATATAAAATATTGTCTAAAATAAACAAAGAGTTATATTAGTTTGATAACCTTTTGTCAATGTAAGTTGCTAAGAATTATATTATTGCATTATGTGGTTTTTAAAACCTATAAAATGAGGCATATGTATGAATTAATTAATCTTTTTTATCACTTGTAATTCTTTAGACGCAAAATTTTTTTTATATCAGCAATCGAAAATACTTTATACAGTAATATATAGATTTTGTATTAAAAAATATTATTTTTAGAAATGTCTTGTATGGTTTTAATTATTTATATGCCAATTTATTTTGTATGCATAATATAATAAACAATGACATTAATACTATAGACTGCCGATGGTAATGCTAAAATCAAATTTGAAGTGGCAAAAATTGAAGTGACTGGTGGCCATTTTGTGTTTGTATCTTTTACGCAATGACATTAATACTATAGACTGCCGATCGTAATGCTAAGATCAAATTTGAAGTGGCAAAAATTGAATTGAGTAGCAGCCATTTTGTGTTTAGAGCTTATACGTAAGAAACATATGAGATTTCATAAATTTCAGGTTTAATTTTATTATATATTATATTTATAATCCTAATTTTTTTACTAGATGAATAAAAAACATTTTTAGAGCTTTATGGTTATACTATTTTGATTATTGCTTAATGTAATCAAAAATTAAAATTAGATTTTAGGCAAAAATTTAACAGAACTGTACTTTTTTAAGGGCATAAATCAAGTATTATAAAATATGTTATTTAACTTAAATATTTATAGGTCAAGGAAAAATTATGGTGATTATTTGTAAGAAAAAACTACACTTTATACCATATACTTTTAGTTATAATAATACATTTATTTTATTAGAAATAAATAATATATATATTATTTGTATTTATTATTGTAAAAATTTATAAGATTATTTTATTTTTCACAATATACATATTGATTAATGATTTTTGTACTTTAGTGAATTAAATTTAAATAAATATATTTAGAAATGGATAGTTATATTTATTAAGGAATAACATAATTCAAAGCAAAAATAAAATATAAAAAGACTCATAAATTATAAAATATAACCTCTTTTTATTTGCTAAAAAAATAAATACAAAAGAAATTATATCTAAATTTTATTTTATATAATTCATTTATCAATAAAATCATATATGTTCAACTTTGTTTTTGGAGTAATTTCTAAAATTCCAAATCACATATTAAATATTTTCATAGCAAAATCTGACATAATAATTTTTACAAGAAAAAATAGGTTATTAATATAAGCTGCATCTTTAGATTTAATTCTGAATATTTAATTTGAGATATCATACTTATGAAAGAAAATTTTACTTCCTGAACAATATTTCTGGTTACAGCCATATGCACTACAATATATTATCATTTTCTTAAAATATAAAAAATATATTAAATTTTATAATAAATTTCAAATCATATATCTTTCCTCACTTTGATTTTTGTTGTTGAATAATATTAAATTAATTCCTATAAAAAATATTCATTCTAACTTGATAAGATATATATTTGAAAAATCTTAAAGATATTAATGAGGTATTAAAGAAAACAAGAAATCCTTACTTCTCTAGATATTACAAAATTTTTAACTATATTCTTATTACTATACAGATTTTATTTTATATTGATTAAATAAAATATTAAAAATATTCATTAAGTAATAAACTGCAAATGTTTATAAAATGTTTTTTATTCATCTAGTAAAAAAATAAGATTTTAAATATAAAATATAATAAAAATAAACCTAAAATTTATGAAATTATCATATGTTTCTTACATAAAAGATCCAAACACAAAATGCCCGCTACTCAATTCAATTTTTGACACTTCAAATACATTAATCGGCAGTCTATAGTTTTAATGTCATTGCTTTTACGAAAGAAGCATATGATAATTTCATAAATTTCAGGTATATTTTTATTATGTTTATATTTATAATATATTTATATCCTAATTAAACACCAATTTATTATTTACCTTATATATTATAGTATATATGAATCAAATAAAGGTCACTACTGAATATTTAACTTGAAATATTTCTGCTCTTTATTAACATTTGTAATTTATTATTTAATAATGAATATCTTTTATAAGAATTCAATTTAATATTTTTTAATTACTAAAAGATTTAAAATGGTAGTATATTGCTGAGGAAGCAAAATTTCCTTTCATAAGTATGATATCTCAAATTAATTATTCTTTTGTAAAAATATTTATGGCAGATTTCCTATGAAAGATAAAATATTATTACAAAAGTGGACCCATGCTGTGAAGAGAGAGAACTTCAATGTAACAAAATATAGTAAATTATGTTCAATTCATTTATTCCATCTGTTACAAATCATGTTCAATTAAGAGAGGGAGCAATACCATCAATTTTTAATTTTCCAAAGCATCTTCTAAAAGTAACAAAATAATGAATAATAAATTATAACATGCAGGTTTCCTAGAAGCCAGATTAATTCAAAAATACATGAATATTTTTTTTTATAGAAATCAATTCTATATTTCTTTTGTATTTTTATAATTATGTCTTTTATGTTTTATTTTTGCTTATAATTATGTTGTTCCTTAATAAATATAAACTATCCATTTCTAAATATATTTCTTTATTTAAATTTAATTCACTAAAGTATATAAATTAATAATGTAAATATATATCATGAAAAATACAAATAATATATATTATGTTATATTTACATCAAATAAAATAATTGTATTATTATAATTAATATGTATCGCGAAAATAAAATATTAATCTTATAAATCAATAATAAATACAAATAATATATATATGTTATATTTTTCGTAAATCAATATTATAATTTAAATAAAGAATAGCATCAAATGAATTGTATATAAAGTACTTAAAGAAATTTAATTAGATTCTTAGTGAATTTTTATTTGTGCCTATTATCCAATATGATAAACCCAATGACAATGTCATTGTTTAAACCATTCTTTGTCACAAGGATTTGTATACCTGTCTAATTTGACAGGTTTGTTACACGTTATCTTTTTTTAATACAAACTTTAGTAAACGGATGAAATGTTTACAATGAAGAAATGGCTTATTAAGCTTAAAGTAAATTTTTAACAAATAATTTATTTATTAGATAATTTTAAAATGATCTAAAAAAATTAACAATTATTTAAATTTGCTGAACATAAAGGGGTAAATAAAAACAAAAACATTGCATGTACCAGTTTGGTATAATTATAGTAATTCTAATATTTCTCTAAGAACACTAGTATTAAACATATGCTGTTGACACTTTAATAAATTGTGCTACAAAATCTTGCTGGACCAAGCTGTGGTAACATAATAAAATATAGACCTGACTTATTGCCCAAAAATATTAATGTATTTTCTTTCCTATACCTCCTTTATTACCTGATTGAATATCACAATATATAAAATCAATAAATAAAAAAAGTTTAAAAAAAATTATTTTCATATCAGATTTTGTAATAAATAGAATAAAATAGATAAATATTGAATTGTCAAAGTTATTGCTCACAACATTAAATTAGAGAAGAAGGTAAAATATTTAAGTTTGTATTTCTTCCTTATCTTTTTTCAAATTTGCTATGGGCAGGCATGTGCTTAAAAAAAATATTGTTTTACTGGTCTCTAGCTGGTGTCTTTGTAAGGTAATTAGCATCATCTCTAGACCTTGCCTAAAAATTCCTACTAGTCTTTAGATGTGTATTGCATTCATAAAACTGATGAGGCAACTACTACCAAGAATATTTATAATCTAACTTTGTTGTTGCATATCCTTTTGAAACATGATATCTTAGATATATAATATAGATAATCAGACATCTATCCACTACTGAAATACAGTCACATTTATGACTATAAAACAGACTAAAAAGACGAAAAATTATTTTTAAATTAAAAATTTTTATATCAAATATAATTTTTTAAAAAGTGAATTTTTAAAAAAAATTACTACCTAATATCCTTTGAAAATAAGTATTACTTATTTATATATTCTTTTATAATATCTTTGTGTGCTTATAAATGCAAAAGAAAATTGCTGAGAATGCTTATAGAAATCTAAGAAGAAACATTAATAATAACCCTTTTATTACTCTAGCTTATGAATTCATATAAAACTAAATGTTGTTCAGTCTAACTCTTTTTAAGAAATATAACATTGTGATTAATATGTCCCTTTTTCTTTTTCTTTTAAATTTTATAATAAAAGTAATTATATATTTTTTAGGGCTGTGCTGATCCACATATTTTTCACTGATCCAATTTGATATTGGTTCAAAACCGATCCAATATTTATACTAATTTTTCACCACCCCCCTTTGAACCAAATATAATTAAGAAATCAATATTTTTTATGCAAAAAATTGAATTATGTTTTATTTAATTTTTTTACTTCTACAATTAAAGACTATAATTTTTATAAAATTACAATATAATAGATAAAAAATATATATAATTTAGTATCAAAATTTTTCCAAATATTTGTTTTATTAAGAATTGCTGATATTGTTGGCTGACATTCAGGGCTATTTTTTTAAAAATTTGATTTGTTTCTTCTAATATTTCTCATTCTTTTTGTATTAGCTTTATGTTTACGGATATTGGTAGTATTAAATGAATATTTTATTATTCCTACCCGTGAAATTAGAATTCCGCAGATAACACATTTGCAAAATTATCTTTGTCTTTTGTAAAATATTTCCATAATTTAGATACCATATTTAAAAAAATTCTTTTATTTAAAGTATAAATAATAAAATTGGCGTTATTATTTAAAAAGATTTAAAATAAATAAAACTTTGGATGTTCCTTTCTATTTTTATAAAAAACTTTAAAAATATTATAAATCTATTTAAAATAAATAAATAACAATTGATTTTCAAAATTTTGATCAGATAAACAAGAGTGCTCAATATCTTACATTGTGCTAAATACATGTTCAACTGGCGAAGATAGGAGGGTTATATTATATTTAATAAATAAAAATTTAATTGAGGGGATTTATTAAAAATTAAAGAATAAACTTTATTTTAAAATAGTTCATCTTCAAAAGATTCTTCATTCAGATCCTCATCAATGTTTTTTTCTCTTTATCAGATAATAATCTGGTATGTGTGTTTTTCTAAAGTAATCAAAGTCTGGTTTTCTTCGTCAAGGTATTTTCTAGTGCTGTAAACATTTCAAAAAAAATCGAACGCGTTCACGTTCATGAACCGTTCAAAATTTTATGATAAATTTTTTTAAAATTTAATTTAAATAAATGTCTTATATTTTATAACACAATATATTAGCCATGTTAAAAAATAATAGTTTTATTTTGATAATATAATTATAAATACAATATAATATAGCGAATAACGACATTTTTATTTATAAAAAATTTTTCTTATTAATTTTTAATAACAATTGTTTTTCAAAATTTTCATGATAGGCAAGAACGCTTGGCAGTTAATACAGCATTAGCTATACTAAAAACGCGCTCTACAGGGGCAGATGTGGGGATTGCAGTATTATACTTAATAAACAATTCTTTTAAAGCGGGGAATTTATTAAAAACATTTAATATTTTCTCTTTTGCTTCAAAAAATTGTGATAAGTAATCATCCTCCAATCTGTCCTCTACTTCCTCGTCAAAAAAGAAGGATATCTCGGAATTAACACTTCTTTAATTTTTATTTTTAGGATTTTCAATGCTTTTTTTCAATAACACTATAAGTCTATTTTTTATCTGTTCGTTCTGCAGGAGTTTTATCCAAATATTTGATGTATAATTGCAGATAGAATATTTTGATCTTCAAATATTTGTTTAAATCTTTAAAAGAAATATATGTAATTAATCTGATAATGATAGGGTTAATACCTTTTATTAATCCCATTTAATATTGCTTCTATCAATGGCTGACCATATTAGGCCACTAATTTTTTTTAACTTTAAAATAACTATCATTTTAGTTGGTGTCAAATAGCCCAAATGCATTTTTTCCTCACTTTCTAAAATAGTGAGCGCTGTTGCAATAGGTTCCCTGATCTTTTTTAATATTTTAAAATTTATAAAAAATTTTATTAGGACTTACCAGGCGCGTGCGAAGGAATTTAGTCGGGGGGGGGGATAATAAATTTTTTTGAGAAATATTATTGTTATTTAAAAATATCAAGCATACATTTATTAGGACTAATAACTATTTCTAATACACAATTTTAAATTATATGAATTATAAAAAAATTATATATATAAACCGGCACATAAAAAATATAAAATAATTGTGAATTAAAAAATATAAAGAGAATATAATCACCACATGAATCACTTAAATGACCCAAAATAGAAATTTGAATTTTTTGAACTTCCAAAATTTATATATAAAGTATAAAAAATTTAAATGTTGGAAATATAAATATTAATACACAAAAAGTTTAGGAATAATTGTATTTTGTATTACATTTACAATGTAAAATCCAATCTTCGTTGGGATTGGGCTAATTTTTCAATTACTCATCCTTGCTTGGCGTCAAATGCCTATAAATATTTAAAAGATCCAAACCATTCAATTCACTTTTAGAAGTTGTACTTCTTAGGTATGTTTTTCAGAGAACTGCAGGTCCGGTTCCCGTGCCGGATCGTATTTTAATTTTTACCCGGGCCGGGTATTTTTTAAAAAAAAACACCCGAGCTGGGCCGAAAAAAATTAAAAAAAAATTTTATATATAATCCTTTTAATACATTGGGAATATAATCTAAAATGTGTTTGAAATTATACAAAGTATCCATAGCATTTTTTTGGACTATATCTTAGTTAATCTTTTAAACCTAGTTATTCAGTTAACAAGGCATCAAACAAATATTATTTTTTTCTATCATCATCTAAAAAGATTGGGAAGGCTTTTGTGAAAGTCTATCAAGTTCATAGAACTATTCGTCCTCTAGTCGACTCAATTATATAATTCTTATTCACGACTCAAGTTCGAAGTCTAAAGTAAAAAAATGTACAAAACAGAACAAATATCTTAATTAATAATGATAACTAGAGGACGAATATTATTTCACGACTTGAGTTCATAACTCGAGTCGACTTAAGTTCGTGACGCGAGTTCATAACTCAAGTCAGTTTGGGTCGATTTTTTTGACCCAAAACAGTTTTCGGCTAAGTCGACTCGACTTAACACTAGTGGAAATAATATCTGCAGCTTGGTAAGTGCTGCATGATGAATTAAAAACCATTCATTTATTTGGATTATAGTTTTATAATACTTTTCTACTGATTTTCTACAAGTCGAGGGAGACAAATATTAAACACGTATAGCTCTCCTTTTGACTCAACAATAACATAAAATTGAAATTCTTCATCAACATTAGCCTTAATTTCCTTGAGTTCTAATAAAATGCTCTCCGCTATTCTCATCTTAATCAAGTCAATGCCATGTTTTTGAAAAGTATTACATAAAATAGTTGTATAATTAAATAATACATTCTAATGAGAAAAAAATTTGAAATAATTATTGAATCCAATAATTTTCTTGCTTCCAAGGAAATATTTCTTTCAGGTCTTTGTGATATATCAGTAATAGCATTAATAATCGGCTTTCCTAACTCCATAAAAGCTGTTACTACTTGATGGCGGAGATTCTATCTCGTTGGACAAGCTTGCACTTTCTTTTTCCCTGTTGGACAAGGAGTTTCAGAAAAATTATTATTTTACTAGAAGATAAATTACGCCACTAGAAATTTGAAAATAATAGGTAAATATTACGCCAATGAAAACTTGAAATCGAAATTAATTGATAAAATAACTTAATAGATGAATGCGTTGTTAGGGAGCGCCGCAACATTTTTTCAAAAACACCTGGAGCTCCCTTTTTAAAATTGGGTAGTGGGAGCTAGCTCTCCTTTAAATTTAAGGTATAAATTAAATTATTTTTTAAATATTAATAATGTTTGTTAATTAAAATTCAATAAAAATGAAATTTTATTTTTAAATTTATCCATTAATAAATGTTGAGGCGAGTTTTATATTGGTTTTTCATCTAATCATTTTAAATATTAAACATCAAGTTTTTCATTTTTCTATTAAAAATTTTTT